ATTTTCTAAATCTATATTCTATTTTAATAACACCATCTTACTAACGCAATGACGATGAAAAGAAAGAAAGCAAATACGCCAATGACAGACCAGGCAAAGAAAAATCTGCAACTCAGGGTCATATTTACTAATTTAGACTTGCCTGCAGACTGTTGTGATTCCGATGAAAAATTACAGGGCTTTCGCGTTCACCCCTCGTTTACGCAAATTATATTTCTTTTTTAAGAATTTTTCATCGGAATCGCAACAGATTGCAAGCACGTCTAGGTCATATTATGACCAACCTCGCGAGTGGTTCGAAAGGGACGATTAGGTTGAAATATTCGCATCAACGCGAAAGAGTTTCAACTACTTAACCGATGACGACACCGATACGGAGACCGAGGAAGTGAGTAAAGAAAATCTGTTGCTCGTCGACTGTCGCATACGACTTATTTACCACTTCCGTGTCACTGAGAATGTTCTAGAACCGTACTGTGTCTGGGTGGAATATTCTAGAATTTTTTAGAAAATGGTTGAATAGGTAATAGAACACTGTAGGAGGCAATAGAAGGTAATGGAACATTCTAGAAATTGGTAGTAAGTTCCAGACTCATTATGTATGTTGATGTAATGGTCTATTTATAGACAGTGGGGGTATACTGTAAAGGGGGTAATTATTCACTGGGTTTTAATTTAGCTTATTTCGCTGACTGGAAAATGCGCTAAATTAAAACACAGTGAATATGTAAAATTTCGCATAGAACACATTATCTAAATGACGAAACCGTGAATTAAAAACCCACTGAATATGCCTGAAATGGTAAATCAGTGAAATTTAAACCCAGTGAAAATTAGTCATTTTACAGTATATAGGGGAGTTGTTCAGCACTGAGTTCAGATCGGAGATCTCGTTGAATTGTATTGGAGTTTAAGTATCTAGTTATTGGAGTAGTGGAGTTTACCGCGTTATTGTACTTGATGTTTGCAGAGTATAATAGTACAGTACCAGTTGAAACCTCATCTGTTGGCTCCGTGTTCGTATTTTATCATCGCCGCCAGGGAAGTCTTTTTGTTACTGTTGCCATTTTGGTATTTGAACCATCACACTTGTACTATACGAATTACGGTAATATTACGTTGCGTGTGACATCGACATCGGCAAAATAAACAAAGCCATCGTTTCCGTTTATGCAGAGAGCGTGCACCCATCTAATTGTCCGTTGACGCTGCCGTTTTAGTTTTCTATCTTCAGCAGTAGTTTCAATCCATTCACACAGCTTTACATTTTATCTCTCTTAATATTCTTAATAAAACATATCGTTTGCCTAGAAACAGTTTGACCCGCTACACGCTTTATTTGGGAATTCAAAGTGATGAATATAGTCATAACAAATTATACTTGCTAATGAAAAAAAAGAGAACGTAACATCGTGTGAGACGTACTTCGCGCTCTACTCGCTTTAAAGCTGCCGCCTATGCTAATGTGCATAGTTGCGGACGAAGCCTCACAACTTCAAGATGGCGTTAATGTTACCAGCTCCCTGATGTTACACCGTAAATAAGCAGACAACACCAACGTGCATGTGTTTTGTAACCCCTTTCATCCCCTCCGGGGGATGTTATATATGTTAATAAATCAATGTTAAATACTTGCTGATTACCGAACCGTGCGGTATGTCGTCTTGTTTACCGTAGTTCGTGAGTAGTCGGCGAAATAACCATTTAAAACTTAACATTTCTATAAGGCATACTGTGTAGGGTACACATCGATCGACCATTGAGATTCGCGCTTTTGGACCAACGAACCAATGGGAATCATGCTCTTCGCAGAGTGACACTGCGATCCTGTCACAGAGTACAATAATCGACATTCGGCGAGTCGCACAATCGCGTCGCAGAGTTAGCTTTTAGACCCCCATACATACCTCGCATATCATAACATTTACTGGGATATCTATTATGGGGCATGTTAATTAATTTTGCCCAATATTTTGCACAGCGTTTCGCGGTATACAGAAAAATGGGATACCATCCCACACTCTCCTAATAAACAACTGTTTGGGGATTTTTGTGAGACACCAAGGTAATGCGTGAGTGAATATTTGGTTGGGAGATTGGACACACAGGCATTATGATACGAGACGAAAACGCTCACCACTGCGCATATACGAGTAAACACGTTTGTTGCACAAGACCAATAACTAATGCGCCATACAATTATGTAAACCATGCACCAACATTCGTAGAATGTTGCAATCACTTTGGTAAAACAAATGTATTGAATTTGATAGAGGGCGCGACATACTGGAATTGACGTTTTCGGCCATTGCTACATTTTTCACAATTTCAAACCACTTCAAACCGACCATTTAATTGCCAGACATCGGCATTATGCTATTATGCTAATTTGTATTTTGAGCACTGTTCAGAGATTATTTTAATATTAAAATAGGACGAACAATATGACAGATATTTACGTGATGTGCGTTGACAAAATATCACGTGATACAACCACGTACACATTTTGTGAACAATGCATACATTTAAAAAGCGACATCATTACATGAAATCTCTCATTTATAATCAGTGTAATTTATAGTGATAATGAGGGATTATGCAGATCGTCAAGAAAAATGTTATTTACGCACGTGCTATTAATCTGCTGGCTTATATAATTTACTTTCCCTATATACAAGCCTAATACCGCTGAATACGCATGCGCATAATATCAAAGAAAACAAGAATCGATCAATCGATACATTGTTACTTGTCCAATCAAGTGGAAGGGTCGATGGGGAACTCTAAGCTTCAAATTGTAGGTTCAATGTATCAACAGAACTCAGACTTAAACATTCGCCGGAATTGGCAGATAACAGCACGTCGACGATGTTGAACTCATCCAGCACGCCTACCTTCTCGAAAGTCGTGGTGAACACAAGAGTGTATTATTCATACTACTATTCGGTTCTCATTTTACTTACGTTAATCAACATTGCTGGCAACTCACTTGTTATTGGATCGGTGGCAAGGTATCGTAAACTACGTAATAACATCAATAACTATTTCCTGACGAGTTTGGCATGTTCTGATATTCTTAATGGAATCACATATACACTGTATCAATTAAGTCACATGACCGTTGGACATATGCATAATATAGCGTGTAAGTATCATCAATATATATTTCATGACAAGTTTGGTGGGTTAATATTGTTAACGGAATCACATAACTGTACCAATTAAGTCATGTGAACGTTGGACATATATATATATCATACAATATAGCAATGCACATTATATTTACAGCATTCTGGCCGTTGTATCTCTTTGATCACGGAGAATATTTTTTTATGATCGCATTTTAGAGACCAATTTAGAGACCTGCGTTATCTGTATGCATATAGTAGAGGTTTTCAGGAGGTAAAATTCACTAAAATTATTTTTTATAGACGAATGTTTTTAAACTCTGGATAACTTTTTTGATCTCTTAAACTTATATGTTTTTGCATTTTTATTTTGTTCATTTTCACATACAGATAGTAAAATCTTTAGAATGTGAAAATGAACTTTCTGTTCATAATTATTACATCTACAAATTCTGAAAAAGTGAAAAGATCTGATAAGTGCTTGTTAAGTAGTATTTGATTGATCATTTTGATGTCAGAATTAAAGAAACATACCGATT